CTACGCACGCGATCGCTCGCGCTCGATCTGTATTTTTCGACGGCGGAACGGAATTTGTCTTTCTCTTCGAATCCGAGCGCTTCTGTCGTTCGCGACCACTGCGCCATTTGACCACAGAGATTTTAGGGCCCGATCTGAAGGGACCTAGAAGGGTAAATATTACTTCCGGGTAATTCTAGACAAGATTTACTCGAAGCACTCGTCAAGGTTGGAATGCTTTAGGCAGAATGCTTTTTCAGTGGTCGCGTGGTGGCGCTGCTAGTCGACGGCACTTCGAAAAACACTGAGAAAGTAGTCGGCATAAAAACACTGGTTAACACTCGAATGAGGGAAAAGTGATGGGGAATTTCTTTTCTCTGAAATCGACGCGAAATGAAATCCTTCTGTCATCGCGACAGAATAAAAAAAGAGACTCGAAATTCTCTCTTCACACGGGAATAAATTAATTACAGTGCTCGGAGAACAAAATTGATGCGACGACAGAAATCATAACCTCTGAACTGATCAATTTTCGACCAAAATGATTTAACAATTTGTCAAAGAGAATACAAAAATGCGTCGATTTGCATACAAAAATTATGCGATTTCATAGAAGAAAAAATTATTGTCACCTATACATTGTTTATCGAATAAAAACTTTCGCGCGGATTTTCATTAACACAATTCATTGTTACTCGAAAGAACAGGATATTTCGAGCCGTTTATTTTTTTTAAATAAATCGAACTTAATTATTTCATTTCGTGTTAATTATTATATCGCGCATAAGTATTATAAAATTTAGATTAATTACAATCGTATAACCCTTGTAATCGTATCCCCTCTCCCCAAATTGTCCACTTTCGTGTAATTATTATTATTAGTTATTACATTAATTATTATTATCATTATTCGTCAATTATTCGATCTCCCCAATATTCGTTCGGAGAACTCGCTTGAGATTAAATGTGTTCAATTTTTTTATCATTCTGTTATACACACAGTTCTGAACGAACGCGAAGCAGCGACTTTTTCCGAATTTTGTCCGCCGACGGTGGCCCGCAGTGGGCCGACGGTATGCTCGACGTACGCGCGAGGAGCGGTGCCGGGCGCATCTTAATTTGCGGTCGCACGTTCCTAATTTGGTTTACCGACGGCCGCGCACCCGGCGAACGGCGTGGCGGTCGGGCTGCGTTCGCCTAACGCTGTCGGCGCGGCGGGGCGGGCGGCGAGGAGGGGGCAGCGCGCGAGAGAGAGTGAGAGAGGGAAAGGGAGGAGGACGGTTATTAGTCGGCCGCGGTTATTTCATTTGCGACTCATGGTCCACGGGTGCGGGCTCGTGTAATTGTCAGGTTTACGAGGGCCTCGCCGCCGTTCGCTTGCGACAAAGTCCCGTCGAAGCGTATCCGGAAAGTTATTGCCTGGTACTGTTCCTCCGTAGACCCCGCGAGAATACGTTTCCCTGGAAGGCAACGTGACCGCGTTGCGTAATTTACGCGGCCGGCCGTTTGTCTTCCGCGTGAATTTTCTGAATCCGCGACGAGACACCGAATTCTCGCCACGCTACTTTTCCCGCCTGGGATAATCTCGGGCGTTTCAGAACTTTCGGGCTTCCAAGCACGATTTTTTACGCGATTCTCACTTTATTTCTGTAGTACACGTGACCCCATCGAGACTCGGAAATCGCTGGACGAGGCGCGCGATAACGACGCGAATTCGGGGCTGCGTCGACGGTGGGCGGTCATCGAGCGGCCAATCGCGTGAGCGCTTTCGAACTGGGGCGGCACTTAGGGACGGACTGGGCGGAGCTTCGAGCTTGCCGATTTTAATTGGGATGTTTTTGATGCTAATTGCGATCGTTTGAGAGGACTTGAAATTTGTTTGCGAAACGAACTGGGAGAATTACGCCACGGTCAATGCGAAGAGATCTTAAATAAAATCATTTTACGTTGTACAGAATAATCGTGCAAGAGATTATCGTGTAAAATATAAATTTTCTTTATCAATGGCACTAAGTAGAAGTTAAGTTGTGGAGTTCCCTTCTTTCTCTAATAATTTTAGTAAGCTCGCAACTATAATAAACAATTTTTGAAAATTTCTTTGATGCTTTAAATCTCGTCTACCAACTTCTGCAATAAATGCAATAAATGCACAAAATGCATTGAACGCGCAAAATGCACAAAATTCATTGAATCTCATCTACCAACTTTTGCAATAAATGCATAAAATGCATAAAATGCATTAAATATCGTCTATCAACTTTGATAATAAATGCAATAGATGCACAAAATGCATTAAATGCATAAAATCCGCGGTCTAATCACGACGAATTTCCGCAAAAATGAACTGAAATTTAGACTGCCTCGCGATATCGGACGCGACCTTACGGGAACTCTGCGGCGATTTTAATGAATAAATATTCACCCGGAAACGTGGAAACAATAACTGCTTAGGCATAATAGATGCGATAACTTATGTCGCGTCTCATACTGAAAATAACAATGTAAAAAACACAGCTTGTTTTTCTAGTCGCCGATTATCAAGGTTATTTTATTTTAATTTTATATAATTTTATTTCAATTTTATTTGAATTTTATTTGAATTTTATTTGATTTATTTCAATTTTATTTTTATTTTATCTAATTTATTATTTATTTAAATTTTATATAATTATTTGACTTGAGTTTTAATACCGCGAACACAGCGACGATTTTCCGACAAGTGGAAACGGGCGTGCCATGATCGGACACGCTAACCCCTATTAAATAAACGCACCGTTGCCTTTCTTGAGAGTATCGGAAACGAAAGCAGATAAGAGATAGCAGCCGCGCGTTAGTGAAAAGAGACAATGATACGCCAGGCACTCGTCGCCGAGAGCTTATCACCGAGTGTATACCTTTATTATGCGGGCGGCGTTTATCGCCGTCGGTGTCTCTCGTTTACTGCTACTTGCGCGCGAGCCGTCGCGTCGATGCTCCATCTTCGAATTTCTCCGATCCGCGGTGCTTTGCGATTCTATTATTTATTTTCTTCCAGTAACACGGAATCGCGTCGATATACCACGGAAATACAAAATAGAGATTAATATTATAGATAACTATTTGTATTATTACATTATTAATATATATAACATAATATAATATAGTGTAATGTAATTGTAATGTAATTGTAATGTAATGTAATTGTAATGTAATGTAATTGTAATGTAATGTAATTGTTATGTAATGTAATTGTAATGTAATGTAATTGTAATGTAATGTAATTGTAATTGTAATGTAATGTAATTGTAATGTAATGTAATGTAATGTAATTGTAATGTAAGGTAATGTAATGTAATGTAATAAATGTAATGTAATGTTTTTTATATTAAAATATAGTATAATGGATCAATTTTCGCGAGGAAGCGAACGATGAATTTCGAAGGCGCCGTTTTTAACGGCGCGATATCGACATGTAACGCGCCGTTTCGTGTTTTCAGGGCGCCGATGCGACGGGGAAAAAAGCGTCGGAAGATTTTTCGAACGGTCTTAATGACGCAAACCGGATAAGGAACAACCGTATCTGAAATCCAACGTAGCTTGCATTGCTATGCGGCGGGGGAGGACGGACGCAGACACGAGGCAAAGATCGATAGAGGTTCGTCGACTCGACAACTGACCGGAGTCTCTACAGCAGCGGCCATGGAAATCGCAGCATTTCAGGAATGTCAACGTTTTCGCCTGATTCTCGCGGGATCGTGTGTACAACATTTTCGTGTTCGACGTTGCAAAAACCGTGACTGCGCCTTGAGAAATCTGTGCCGTATTTGTGGCCTACCGTTCCGGCGTCAGAGGAAACGTATTTCAAAGAAACGCAACGATTTTATTACGCTTTTTATTTTGGATATCGATTCTGTGCAACATTGTTGTTGTTTTGATATTGCAAAATACTTGGAATATCTTAAACTGCGATGTATTTTGGTGGAACGTGCTATTCCGGTTTCAGTAAAATTATATCTTTAAAATGCTACAATGTTGATACTCGATTTTAGACATGTGTGCTTGATTCTGAGCAACATTGTTGCATTCGATGTTATAAAATAATTGAAACGTGTTAAATTGTGCTGTAATTAGGACGGCGCACCTTTCTAGTGTCAGTAAAAATTATATTTTTAAAAATGCTACAATGTTATTACTCGATTTTAGACATTCGTGCTTGATTTTGAGCAACATTGTTGCATTCGATGTTATAAAATAATTGAAACGTGTTAAATTGTGCTGTAATTAGGACGGCGCACCTTTCTAGTGTCAGTAAAAATTATATTTTTAAAAATGCTACAATGTTATTACTCGATTTTAGACATTCGTGCTTGATTTTGAGCAACATTGTTGCATTCGATGTTATAAAATAATTGAAACGTGTTAAATTGTGCTGTAATTAGGACGGCGCACCTTTCTAGTGTCAGTAAAATCACATTTCTAAAAATGCTACAATGTTATTACTCGATTTTAGAAGCTTGTACTAGATTTTGTGCAACATTGTTGCATTTGATATTACTAAACTCTTGAAACATCCTAAACTGTGCGGTATTTAGGGGGACGTACCATTCTAGTGACAATAAAATCACATTTCCAAAATTGCTACAATGTTATTACTCGATTTTAAAAACCTATACCCGATTCCCTGCAACATAATTGCACTCGATATTACAAAACCCTTAAACCTAAAACAGTGTCATATTTACAATCTGTCATTCTAATATCAGAAAAATCATGTTTCAAAAAATGCAACAATATTCCCATCGCCAACAAAAATCACCCCTTTACCGCCCGCCCTAATCAACCTCTCAAAACCTCCAGCATGAACGCCGATCATATCTCATAATTCCCACGAACGAGCGCACAAAACGACATACAATGACTTCACAAATATGTTCGACCGAACCAAATTATCCTACAGAGACGCTCGCCGACGACTATGCGAATCGTTTAGAAATTCGGCGGGAAAATCGAAGCGGAAATTCCCGGCAATGATGAGTGCTCACCAAAGCTCTCTATCAAGACGATCCCGAGAAGCTCGTTCTCCTCATGTCCGGCTTAATCCGTCTGCAGTGACCGACACAGTTCCCGCGTGCCCGAGAAAAATCCCGCGAGCTGTCATCGCCGCCACGAGGAAGCTGCGAAACACCGCACAGAAAGCGATATCACTGGTGGTCCGTCGGAAGAAAGACGAGAAAAACAACGCCGAGCGACTTCGCGAGTCCTTGGAGCACGGCGGTCGAACGGAGTCCGTTCCGGTCGAGCGTCGAAGCTGTCCGACGGGCCCGACGGTCTTCCAAATCCGCTCCGTCGACGGGCGAACGCGCGTCACCGTACGTACGATCGTCACACTCGCACTACGAACGACGGTTCACTCGACACTGAATATCGATGCTTATTCCCCGCGGATCACTCGCATCTGTCGTAGCACGCTGCGTAGCGGTCGGCTCGGTCCTCGAGCATTTAAATTCCCGTGAAGCCCGAGTGTCTCTCTCGTAGTATAGTCCTTGGCGGGCGGCAGCGGCTTCGTTCGGCGATTATTTCGGCGGTGCTGCGGTCACCGACGGCTGACTTCAGTTCACACCGCAAAGCGGTTGGGTCCGCGCGCGGTTCGTTCCTGCGGCGGCGGCGGCGGCGACACGAAACCGCGGGTACACCTGTTCGGCAAACACTGGTCGCAATGTAGGTCAGAAATGCTCCGCGGTGGAGTCGAGAACGACGCGAACGTATCGATAATTCGTACGGGACGATCCGCGGAGATCGGCGCGACGGAACATGATAACGCGACGACCGGAACTGTGCCGCTGGATGGAGACGTTCACGGGCGAGCACGACGACGCACGAGCGGCCACGGCGTCCGCGAATGTCACAGGGAGCTGGCCGAGCACTGGTGCAACACTGCGCTGCTCCACGTCCGGAGCGTGCTCGTTCGACGAAGCGTGTTGGTGCGACGGTGCGCGTCAGCTGATCTTGTCCGGCGTCTGACAGCGGCGAGAACGAGCATTTGACACTGTGGTAACACTGTTGAACTTTCGGCGGATCCTTGTGGCAACGTTGCGGACGTTTCCGTAGCTGTTCGTCGGCTGTGGCCGCGCGAGAAGGACGACGGCGTTGCCGCGGAAGAATGAGGGATCCTGATTGAACGCGAGACCGTATTGCGGCGACGCGACGCACGGAACGACGAGTGGACGGAGCCGCTGCTGGCCGACTGCCGACGGTCGAACACGCTCGGGTCGCGACGATCAGCTGATCGCCACGCGCGCTACTATGGTAACCAACGTCACCGGGCTCCGGATAGGGCAGCACGCGCGCGCACCACTTTTGGTGCCGTCCCGCCGTCTGCGCAAGCCCGCCGGCGCGCGTCTGGCTGCGTCGACGGATTTTCGGGCGCGTGTGGAACCGCGCGACGCGACACACGTGGCCGCGAGGAGACGCGCGGCACAATGCTTGTCGGGACGAGCAGCGGCGGCGGCGGCGGCGGCGGCGGCAGCGGCAGCGCGCGGGACGCCGCCGACGTTGCCTCGCGGAGGGACCGAACGAAAACCCGTGCTTTTCGGCTTCCCCTCCGCGCCTCTGCGCCGCCTTTTTCTGTCACGATCCGTCCGTTACCGGCTCTCGCCCTCCCGGCCCCCGCGCGGCAGGCTGCGCGACACGCGACCACCACCGGTCAGCCTGACGATCACGACCGCGTGCGCGTCGCAAAACGCGAACGAAATACTCCGTGACTCGTCACTAAATACGACGCCGGCGACCGTGTCTCTCTCTGACAGGAAGGAATATCACGAGGCTAGCGTGACGCGAACGGCTACGTACGCCATCCGCTCGTGTCGGCAGTCGGGCGTGCACTGCCTTTCGGAGCCGTCGGTCGCTTCTCGATCCTCGACTCGGCGAGCCCGACTCGCTCGCCTGCTCGCGGCCTCCATCCCCATCGCGCCACGCTCTGCTGCTCGGTGCACGACACTGCTGCTGCTGCTGCTGCTGCTGCTGCTGCTGCTGCCTATGCTGCTGCCTATGCTGCTTATGCTGCTTATGATGTTCACGGTGTAACAATACTTTTGCCAATTTCCCCCTCCCTTTAATTCAATTACTCGATATTTGTACAAATACTCGATCGTCTTAACTCCTTCGATTTTCATTCGATTGGAACTAGCGAAGTCCCCGTTTTAAACAACCAAAACGCTTATTGGGGGGGAGGGACAAATCTGTGCACTATATTTATTTAGTCTTTTAATTTATTTAATAATGTGTGTGTGTGTGTGTGTGGTCTCGAATTCAATGGTAATAGTTGATTTTCAAAATGTAGCAATAGATGTGCTGTTTTACATATAATGGAGCACAAGAGTGTCATCGGGGATTGATTAGTTATGTTTTGAATGTTTTTGGAATTTTATTTGTTGTAGTTCTGCTCATTTAAGCGCCTATTAGTACAACATTTTGATCAGATTGTCGGGTTTTGCTCGATAGCATTTGCGAATGTAATTTTAGCTGGAGGGAAATTAATGTACACAGCTTTTGGAGTTGTCTGTACTAATGGATTTGCGAATGAAACATTTTAATTTGTTTTGCCCGATGGACAAGTGCGTAATTCAGAAGCGGTTTTTATTTACAGGTGGGAAAGCAGGTGGATATCCTTCACTTGTTCGATGCTTTCGGTATTTGGACTCGCAGCTACATCTGCCGGCGTTAAATGGTACTATACGTTCACGGTTGATGGCGAAGCATTCGGTACGTTAGCGAGAATGAAGTGTACCTGAAGCTTTGTTACGTTATCAAGAACGAAATATGTTTCATTAGTGCAGTAAAAATGAGGTATATAGGATAGTTAATGGAGTTAGTGAGAACGATGTATATTTTATTACCTTGGTAAGGATGAAGTATACTGTATTACATTAGTAAGAATGAAGTATACTGTGTTACTTTAGTAAGAATAAAGTATAATATATTATTTTGAGTAAAAATGAAGTGTACAAGATAGTTTATGGAGTTAGTAAGAACGGTGTATATTCTGTTACCTTAGTAAGAATGAAGTATACTTTATTACTTTAGCAAGAATGAAGTATAATATATTACTTTAGCAAGAATGAAGTATAATATATTACTTTAAGTAAAAATGAAGTATACAAGATAGTTTATCGAGAGTTAGTAAGAACGATGTATATTCTATTACCTTAGTAAGAAAATGAAGCGTACTGTATTACTTTAGTAAAATGAAGTATAATATATTACTTTAAGTAAAAATGAAGTGTACATGATTTAATAAAAATAAAATGAATAATGAAGATGAAGTATACTCTATTATTTATGTAAAAATGAAATACATTCTTTTACGTTGGTAAAAACAAGTCTGTTCTTGCAACTTTCGGTAGAAACGTTAAGTTACCGTATGATCACTTGTTGAAATGTACAATATACTCGACTCTCGCTAACTATGCCTTTCTTACACCCTTCGATATTAAGGGAATGCAAAGTTAGAGAATAAGAAGATTTTTAACGACTCCGAGGGGTGTGCGACGATGAGGCCTTTGTAGATGGTTTGTGGATTCCTAACAACATTGGTTAGCAGGGTTGGCATAAAAGGTGCTAGATTTTGTGCTAGATGAAAACATTAATTTGATTTTTGTTCAGATGCTTGGATCCTCTAAACGTCGATCGTTTGCACCAAATTTCTAGAAGAAATTGAAGAACCTGTGGGAAGACTCCCTCCCTGCCACACCATCCCCACTTCCAGACAAATCTAGTACCTTTCGCCGCGGCACTGGTTGACAGTGTTGCCAACTGTTTCACAAAGTGTTCCAGACCTGAAAAACCTTGTTGAGAGAAACCTCGTTTCTCCATGACCTCCCTGGTTGCAACCAGGGTTGGTGTGAAATTCGAGACTACGATTTCACAGCGATGGCAGCACCAATTGATCCCAGGGGCTCCACGGTATAGGTAAAAAGGATGAAACGATGTTGGTAGCTCGGGCAAAATGAATTGAAGTGTACACGAATGCACCTTGGCATAAGAAACTATTGAGAACGAGATTGAAAAGTGTTTACGATACGAATGTTAACTGAAAGAACATTTGGCGTACAATGATACTGGAGAACACGCGATAATTATGCGTCTTAAGTTTGTCAGAACGCTGTTAGTGCTCGCGCTGTTAGGTAATATTATTATATGGCACAGAATATGGAGATTGTTCGCGGCGCAGAACACATTGAGATTGTTGACACCGAACGTGGTGACAACCGATCCGCCGCAGAAACTCCATCGCCGGCTGGCTCGTCTCGTCACTGTTGTTATAAGACAGTTCGAGAACTTCGAGAACGATGTTGCTTCCACGGTGGAGTCTGTTTTGGACTTTTTCCCGACCATACCAATTTTAATAGTATCTAATGAATTGCCGTACCCTCCGTTAGAATTGGATTTTGCCAATTATAGCATGCAAAATGTGAAGCTGATAAATTTACAACCGGATTTCAACACGTCTTACGACGAGAGAAATCCGCTTTTCTATGTACGTACGAAGTACGTATTATTTTTACCGGACGCGAGCAGACTTACCAATAAAGAAGTCGTACAGGTGAGCGTCTTTGTGTGTTTACATTATTCAGACACAATTGTTGGCGTCATTGGATTCAATCGGCATTAATCGAATTGTCTTGTTACAGGAGACCGTGTCGCACGCAGGAAAACTAGGTATAGTAATCGTACCGATAGGAAAGGCAAATTTGAATTGCATTAGCATAGATTTAAAAGTAAGAGAATGGAGCCTTAAGTTCTCAAGAATCGAGGGCAATGTATGCGACAGTGTAACTGGAAAACATGCTACTATCATCGAGACGAGGATATTAAGGAAGTTAACCGATCCTTTCTTGTTACCATTCGCAGACGCATTGTACATTCAAACGACTGCAATAAGTTCAAAGGTATCCAATTTTGGTTCAATCTTCTAATACTTTATAATACAGTCTCGATGCGACACAGTGTGAAAAGAAAAGAATGATTTAGTGCGATCTTATGATGTTATTATTTGTTCCTAGATTCATATACTGACAAGTTATCAGCTGAACGAAGGAAAGTTGTTACACACAAATCAGCAATCCCAGTGGAAATTACAAGAGCTACATCTGAATCGTGAACGAATAATGTTCGAAAAGTTAGGAATTAAGAAAGTTGTAAGGGAATCGGATACCATAGAGTGGTACGGTTGTTCGAGAGAAAGCAGCAGATGCTTTGGATCAATTGTAAACGGTATACCGTCGTATCTTTATCAAAAGAGATACACGCCACCTTGTTGTCTCTCAGGATTAAGAAAAGTTGCTCATCACGTGTTCGATCAGTTAGAAGAGGTTGGTGTAAGATTCTGGTTGGAGGGGGGATCTTTACTTGGTGCTATGAAGAACGGCGATATTCTGCCGTGGGATCATGAAGTACAAATAGGTGTAAATCGTGACGACCTTGAACGATCCCCATGGATCATCAAGGCCATGATTAAACCCACCGTCGACAACGACGGTTTCGTCTGGGAGAAAGCCACCGAGGGGGACTATTTTAAAGTGCAGTACTCGAAGATCAATCATTTGAACGTGAACATACTTCCGTTTTACTCGAAGAACGGTTCTATGACCAAAGCGGCATGGTTTCTGCATCAAAGGAATTTCCCGGAACAGTTTCTTCATCCGATGTCGAGCATTGAATTCGCTGGTAGGCAAGTGCCGTGTCCGAACAATATCAGGGATTTTTTAGAATGGAAGTACTTTAAAGGTGTGATAGAGAAACCAGAACTTCTCGGGAAAGTTTCGTTTTAGACTTTGTACTTGTGCAATTAGATAGATTCACTTTCTAGGAAAGGGTACATACGACTAGGAACAGAAAATATTTCTCAGCGAAACGTCCGAGAACTGGTCACGTTCGATTTTGACTGACATTTTGAAACTAGTTTCATTTTTACAAAAGTACAGTGTTTGCCAGAAAGCGAAGTTTAATGCCCAAAATTTTGCAAATGATTGAAACAGCAGTGTAAGGCAATGTAGTAAGGTTACAATGGTAAACCATTTTTCACAAAATTTTCTATTTTAACTGAAACTCGTCGAAACTTCTGACAGACATTGTATGGAAAGTAAAGATGTCCGTAAAATTTCAGCGAAATCGGATGTAACCGGTTTTCGCAAGTGCATTTCTGTATCAAGGTATAATTTAAATTACGTAGCTGATAACTATTTCTATACTTAATCAGACTTTACATTTTTTATTACCGTCTTAAGCATCTTAAATATCCTCTACTAAGAATTTAGATTAGGTCTTGCGTCGTAGAATTTCCACTCGAGATATATTATTTTCCGACGATTTATAAAAGTTTTAACGAACGGTGTCGTGAAACAGGAACGATCGTTAACTTGGATAGAAGAGAAGGTTTTACAAAATACAGTTAAAAATGTAGGCGTTACGTGTTTCCTTTGCTTAGATCGATAAGAAAAGCTGCGGAGGAATTTGGCTAAACGTTCGATTAGCTTGACATAATTATTTATTTTTGAAATAAGAACTAATTTATTTCGTATTTTATTATCATTAAATTGTCGTATATGTGTATTCACAAGTTCCTAAATCGTACTTTAGATGATTTCGAAATTAATGTTTTGAAATATTTTGTAACTTGACAAAAAAGTTACAAGCATAAAATATATTTTCGAGTAGAACATCGTATTTACAATCGACTTTGTAAATGAAGTTTTGGGCGTTGTTAAGCCCGATGAGTTTTTCATTTAACTCGATAAAATGAATTGATGTGCCAAAGATTTGAAGTGATTTACGTTCTCTCGGAATTATTTTCTTTTACTTGTGTTGCGTTCTGTTGCACCATTTGGCCGAACCTTTAGTACAAATTACTTTCTAGAATTTCAACAATACTGTATATCGATCGGATTTATTTATTTATTACTTTAACATTAGCAAATGCTGTATCGTTCTTTTACATTAATTTATTTTGTTATTTATTTTGATAGTATTTATACAAATCACAAATCTTTTTCACTAACGTTACTGTGATATATCAGTTCTTTTTATATAACACGTTTACCAAATATTTCATTTAAGAACATATCTAAATTGTATATCGAATACTTTAATACTTAAGATTTTATTATAAAACTATCATAGACTATGTAACGTTTATTTCAAACGCATAAAACACGTCGGTGACCAGTGCTTGCTTTGACGCACCGGAGAACAATTAAGTCTGCTATGATTATTCTGCTTTTGCAGTTTCTTTTTTTATCTACTTTCGCAGTTTCTTTTTTTCTCTACTTTTGCAATATACAAAATACTCCACGCGCGACTTTATTACATGTGTACAATTCTTGTGAACTAATTTTTGTGAGATTTATTGAACAAAATGTTTTCGTTTTGCGAAGGAAATCAGTGCTCTCATGTGTATGGAATTGCAATGAAGTTGACATAAATAATGCTATTTACAGAACGGTATATTAAAGTAGTTTCATAATCGTTAAGATTTGCTTCTAGTCTAGGGTACACATGTCGTAGCAATTCTGTATACCAACATTCTATTTATAACTGATAGTCATATTTTTCATGTATTCTAAATTTAGTGCCAATTCATTTATAAAGACATAGGACACTAATTCTCTGTATTTTCTGTTATAGCGATTACCAATAAAATGTTACTGTTTATAAAACGTAAATGTCATATCATTCAATGCGGACGAGGATTCTACGAACAAGAAAACCGTTCTTTCCAGCCAAGTATTTCTTACCAAGAAATAAATTACTATGCTTGCTATATCATTTATAATCGAGAAAGAAATGCGAACACGTTTATGTCGGGGATAAAGTATAATTGAACTACGTCGCTGTTACTCGTACATCCTCCGGCGGTGGCAGTACAGGTGGTTCGCGTACAAAGCTCAGTAATTTTTCTAACTTCATAATTTCCAGATCCGCGTGCGTTAAATGCAATTGCCGCTTCGTTGGCTTCACTTTTATCCGAAGATTCGGCGAGAGCTTCAAGGTTGTCACTGTACCTCTGTATGCAACATGGTGGACAATTTAATGAAATGACAGTCTTAGATGCAGGGCTGGAGGAAAATCGATTTTTGAAGTAGTAAATGGACTATAAATATATGTATCTTTTTATGTAATACAAAATGGCAAACATTTCTTTGAAACAGTAATTACACATGCATGTTACGTAGTTAAATATATTTGGAGATGCTATCTCCATACGTAACTAGTATTTCAAGGGAACTTTATTTGCCAAATTCTGTATTACATGAGAAAATACAAATCATTTCAAGAATCTTGAAACATTACATGAGAAGATACGAACTATTTCAAGAATCTTGAAACATTACATAAGAAGATACAAACCATTTGAAGAATCTTTTAATCCACAGCCCTGCTTAGACGTTTCTGAGTAATACTTACTTATCGTCACCGACAATAATAAACGGCAGTTTGTTGTTAAACGCTAGCCGAGTTAATTTATTCTTCTTTTTACTAACCACTGCTTGGCTACATATCGGTCTATATTTGTTCACGTTCAAGTCGAACACCGTGACCTTTCCGTCGTTGGAAACACATGCCAATACTGTGGAACTGTACGGTGCCCATACAACGTCTCCAATTGGAACACCGAGATCAAACGCGAACAAAGGTTCCCTAGAAAAATATTAATCGTGTAATTTATAGAATTACGTTATCTATAGCAATACACTTGCTGTTGGCAATATTAGCTTCACAGGTAATGCTGCTGGCGTGACTCTCACATTCTATTGTCCTCCCATATCTTTATTCTCCAGTCGCCAGAGCAGCTCGCGAATATGTTCGAATTAAATTTGTTGAACACTATTCTGTACACCGGCATGTCGTGTGCCTCGTTATACGTTTTCATGTAAACACTGCTGTAAGCCGTGTTACATTTATAAATTGTTCCCTCTTCCGTCCCTACCAGGAATACATTTTGATCAGCCGGATGGAATGCCAGGCTTGTTCCACATCCTACATTCAATAAACATTCTATAAACATTGTTCTCAGCTGGTCCAACAGGAATTACGCAAAGATATTCATTACCTATTAAAGTGATCATAGTACCATCTGGTCCAGGTATTGGAGGCCGGTCTAGGAAAAGTGTCATCACCGTTGTCAGTCCTAGATCATTCTGATTCAGTATCCAATAATTGATTTTCCCATCGATGCTGACACTGTAGAATGCCAAATTACCTTCTTCCGTGTCCGGTGCCCAGCATACCTTGACGAAGAAATATGTATGTGTTAGCGTTATTTCGACTGAAAATTACCGACTCGTTTGATTAATATGGTTTCGTTTAACAAACCTCCCACACTATACCTCCATGCTTTTGATGAACGTCGTTGCTCCTGTATTGCGGGGCCGTCGGTGGTAACATAATATTATAAACGGCAACGGAACCGTCCATTGCACCTGAATCACAAAAATAGACGTTAATGTTATTATTATATATATAATAATATATTATATGTATATATATTTAATAATGTTATTATTAAATAAAATAAAATAGATAAAATAAAGCAAAAAAATAAAATGGAATAGAATAAAATACATTAAATTAAACTAAACTAAAATAAAACACAATAAATTAAACTGAAATAAAATGAAGTACAATAAATTAAACTGAAAAAAAATAAAACGCAATAAAGTAATCTGAAATAAAATAAAGTACAATAAATTAAACTGAAATAAAATAAAGTGCAATAAATTAAACAGAAATAAAATAAAATACAGTAAATCAAACTCGAATAAGTACAACAATTTGTACAACGTATTATTATTATAATATGTAATATGGAATATTTTAATTTTTAATCAACTACCGATGACTAAAAGATGTGGATGCTGTTCACTGAAGGCCAAAGACATTACCGGAGTCTCTATTTCACAGATCCATTCTGGATACGATGGATTTTTCAGACTGAATAAGCAAACTTTCCCATTTGTTATCGGACTATTAAATGACACTGCAATTTTACAGGTATCAGTGTACGTTTAGACAACGAGATATCGAAAATTTAATATTCCTGGCGTGACTTCGGCGAACCGTTCACAACAACCGATTCGGCTGAAATTTTGAAAATAGCTTAATTTACATAAAAACCCATTAGCGACATTCCCAGTAATTTTGAAAAATTTTATTTTTCGTTTTCGCTGAAATTCTGATTGCTTCCAGATGAGAACAACGATGTTTGTGACCGGTTTTCGGAAGCGCGACCGTATCTTTTATTAACTCGTTCCATAAGACACCGCGAATAAATCGTAGTATCTGCCGTTGAAGCATAAATTTGTGACATCGTGCTTCTTCGTTTTTTCGTAACTGAATTTCCACAACGGCAGCAACGATCCTTCCCCGTCCTTGAATTCGTCGCTTGGATCGTCCCAATATCGATAATCTGAAAATATTTATCTGTACATATATAAATTAAAATTGAATAAATTAAACTGAAATAATATAAAATACAATAAATTAAACTGAAATAAAATAAAATGCAATGAATTAAACTGAAATAAAATAAAATACAATAACTTAAACTGAATTAAAATAAAATACAATAACTTAAACTGAAATAAAATAAACTTCANATTAAAGTGATCATAGTACCATCTGGTCCAGGTATTGGAGGCCGGTCTAGGAAAAGTGTCATCACCGTTGTCAGTCCTAGATCATTCTGATTCAGTATCCAATAATTGATTTTCCCATCGATGCTGACACTGTAGAATGCCAAATTACCTTCTTCCGTGTCCGGTGCCCAGCATACCTTGACGAAGAAATATGTATGTGTTAGCGTTATTTCGACTGAAAATTACCGACTCGTTTGATTAATATGGTTTCGTTTAACAAACCTCCCACACTATACCTCCATGCTTTTGATGAACGTCGTTGCTCCTGTATTGCGGGGCCGTCGGTGGTAACATAATATTATAAACGGCAACGGAACCGTCCATTGCACCTGAATCACAAAAATAGACGTTAATGTTATTATTATATATATAATAATATATTATATGTATATATATTTAATAATGTTATTATTAAATAAAATAAAATAGATAAAATAAAGCAAAAAAATAAAATGGAATAGAATAAAATACATTAAATTAAACTAAACTAAAATAAAACACAATAAATTAAACTGAAATAAAATGAAGTACAATAAATTAAACTGAAAAAAAATAAAACGCAATAAAGTAATCTGAAATAAAATAAAGTACAATAAATTAAACTGAAATAAAATAAAGTGCAATAAATTAAACAGAAATAAAATAAAATACAGTAAATCAAACTCGAATAAGTACAACAATTTGTACAACGTATTATTATTATAATATGTAATATGGAATATTTTAATTTTTAATCAACTACCGATGACTAAAAGATGTGGATGCTGTTCACTGAAGGCCAAAGACATTACCGGAGTCTCTATTTCACAGATCCATTCTGGATACGATGGATTTTTCAGACTGAATAAGCAAACTTTCCCATTTGTTATCGGACTATTAAATGACACTGCAATTTTACAGGTATCAGTGTACGTTTAGACAACGAGATATCGAAAATTTAATATTCCTGGCGTGACTTCGGCGAACCGTTCACAACAACCGATTCGGCTGAAATTTTGAAAATAGCTTAATTTACATAAAAACCCATTAGCGACATTCCCAGTAATTTTGAAAAATTTTATTTTTCGTTTTCGCTGAAATTCTGATTGCTTCCAGATGAGAACAACGATGTTTGTGACCGGTTTTCGGAAGCGCGACCGTATCTTTTATTAACTCGTTCCATAAGACACCGCGAATAAATCGTAGTATCTGCCGTTGAAGCATAAATTTGTGACATCGTGCTTCTTCGTTTTTTCGTAACTGAATTTCCACAACGGCAGCAACGATCCTTCCCCGTCCTTGAATTCGTCGCTTGGATCGTCCCAATATCGATAATCTGAAAATATTTATCTGTACATATATAAATTAAAATTGAATAAATTAAACTGAAATAATATAAAATACAATAAATTAAACTGAAATAAAATAAAATGCAATGAATTAAACTGAAATAAAATAAAATACAATAACTTAAACTGAATTAAAATAAAATACAATAACTTAAACTGAATTAAAATAAAATACAATAAATTAAACTGAAATAAAATAAACTTCAGTATATTAAACTAAATAAAATAAAATACAATAAATTAAACTGAAATAAAATAAAATACAATAAATTAAACTGAAATAAGATAAAGTACAATCAATTAAACTGAAATAAAATAAAATACAATCAATTAAAAATATATATGTATATTTCGTCGAATGCGTTATCATTATCTCGGCAATAATTACCCTGCGCGATATCGTCGAAGATATTTTGGTTCACCATTCGTTCCAACGTTTTCGCTGCTTGCAACATTCGAGCCGACATTGCCATCGACTGTGATTGCGCCTGCTTCTTCATGTCTTCCTTCTTCAGTTGTAAAATTGGAACCCTCTTCTCCTTTTCTCTCTCGCGTTGCTGTTGCGCGAAATCTTCCTAAAAACCAAGGTAAACGAGCCGCTTATGCGTTTCTAATTTAATCGGTTAAATGATCCACGTACTTGATACTCGTCGAAGATCGTCCATTGGAAGACGTGTGCGTTAAACGTAGCTGTCGGTGGTGGCACAGTTTGCGTGCTCATTTCCTGTAAAATTGTCACGTGATCGTTTAAACATTTTATTAAATTGAATGCGCAATTTTTGGGCAATTTGTGTGGAATTTATGTGGATTTTACGTGCAATTTATATGGAATTTATGTGGAATTTACGTGGAAAATTTATGTGGAATTTATTTGGAATTTTTATGGAATTTATGTGCAATTTTTATGGAATTTTCATGGAATTTTTATATATATGCAATTTATATAGAACTTATTTGGAATTTCTATGGAATATCTATGGAATTTTTATGCAATTTACATAGAATTTACATGGAATTTACATGGAATTTATATGTAATTTATATAGAATTTATATTCAATTTTTATGGATTTTTTATAGAATTTATATGGAATTTATACGTATTGTGGAATTTATATGCAATTTATATATAATTTTTATGTAATTTATATAGAATTTATATGGAATTTATATCCAATTTTTATGGAATTCCAAGAATTTTCAAAGAATATTTATGGAATTTATATGCAATTTATATTGAATTGAATTTGCATTATCTTACTCGTAAAGGATTAGTATACGTCAGAGCAGCCCTCTCGCAAAAGTTGAATTGATTTGGAACTTTCTTCGGTTTCACCGCTTCTACCTCTTCATCGTCCGCTTCAGCGTCAACTTCCGGCTCTTTAGCTTCTTCCTCGGCATCTTATCATTCATTCATAAATATTAAATTATCTAAAAATGTCGTTCAAACTTCTCTACTATTCAATAATATACCTAAATAATACGCTAAAATAAAATAATAGAACGTTCGGATAGCAGAACATTTTAAAAATAAATGTTCGGATATTGAAGTCTCTGTTGCATACACATGTATGTATACAGTAACGCGCGATACTTCTTGCGATCACCACAACTATTCATTATACCTTCTTCCTCCTCTTCCTCCTCCCTCTTGTCTTCTCCCTCCTCCCCTTCCTCGTCTTCTTCTTCATCTTCATCGCCATGCAAGAGCGTCGCCGCGTCCTGGAGACTCTCCACTGCACGAAGGGAGTTCATTTCATTTGAATAACACAGAGACCATGAACGCGAACAACGAATTTCCCTTCGCGGGATCTCACCGAGATGTCCGCCAGCTAATTGTATTTTCGCCTCTTCGGAATCCTTGTGCAATATCGTCCCCTGCACGTTCAGGATTGTCACCAAATGCGGGGGTGGGGGTAACTTAACGAACTCCTTCAACTTCCACGACCACTCAACCAAAGCATCCGGGACTCTCGTGTTGTGTATAGTGAGAACCCTAGCGATTTCTTCTTGCATTTCCTACGGATTCGACACACTATACACATAGTTATGATATTTCAAAAAAAACCGAACGTATACCTCTTCCGTTAATTGCAGCTGATCGTCCGGCTTCAGAAGAAGTTTCGCGCGCAGCCAGTCTATGTCGCCAGCTCCGACGAAGTCCACGCGGCTCTTCGCGAAGCTCATGTGCTACGTGCAAACGATTCATTTCAATGAAAAATGTTCTCACGATTTATAGTTACGTTCCAAAGCACTAACTCTTCCAAGATCCCGCTCGGACGGCTTCGACATCGACTTCCTTCCGTATGCCATCGCGTTGTTATCAGCTTCCCAACTTGCTATACAATAGGATACAACACCGTTGAATTGTCTACTCTGATTTATTTAGAACTCTAATTGCACCAAAGAACTCACCAATGTTCTTGTGATGCGGCGAGGAACGTTAAAATCTTTGTCTGGGGAAAGATATGTCAAATTTTCCTGGATTTCCTTTTTGTATAAACAATATTGCTGAACATATTATGCAAATATCAAACACTGTATGATTACAATGAACTAGAAAAACAGCTTGAAGTTCTTTACATCAGATCCACCATTGCAAGATGTGGAGAAGATCTTTGGTTGCTTAGGAAACATGTTACAATTGTATATATGTATATAGTAGCATTAAAATGTATTCTAACGTACATTTCAATAAATATTATGTCGAATTTCGTATCAATTTATTATTAGCACTGCCGTATTACTAACACCGACATGCAAAACATGAGATTTCAAGTGATTTATTGATTTACGAAATTTTGTTTTTTTTTTATATTTAATATTATAAAATACACACGATGCAGATATATAATAATGCATGAAGTGTGCAGAGTGTACATTTCTGTGGAAATTGATGTTTATTTCATACAAGTGACTGGTGATAATGTTAAAATATCCCTGCAGTTCTATACATGAAAGAAAATCAATAACAGAACATACCATGATAATGTAAGCATGCTTGGTACTGAGATAAGGCAGATTCGTACAGAAATGCTTGTGAGTAAATATTTCGAAATCATGTGTGTATCTAAGCAGATCTTTCTGCTGGACAACGTAAATATTGTTTTTTTGTGTGCATTATGTTACATTCGAAAATAAACGATTATTTTTCGAATACCTGTTCAGAGTACCTGTGTACAAACAATGACTCTGTGTACATTATAAATGGACTCTGTGCATTGCAATTAGATGTATAAACGAGAAGAGGTATATTCTTAGCTGTTTTACGAGAAATTTCTGTGTATGCATGTGGTTATGTCAAAACAGTGTTTGGTTCTAAGTGTTCTGTGCGTTTCCAGATGAGATAAGAATATAAATCTTTCATGTGACAGAACAGTTTATCTTGTCATGGAAGATAGCGGAATTGACAGTGATCCAAAGAACACTGGTCGCGTAGAAGATGAAAGACTTTTTCTGGTGAACATATAACTTATTGTGCTTCACTTTACGCTTTCAATTTTGTTGGTTGGATGTGACAATAAATCTGCTTTTCCAGGGAAGCGATAGTAGCTGCAGCAGCAACCAGACACAAACATCTCAACACAATTCTACCACGAAGCAGCTACAGAAAAAACTTGGTACTTCTCGAATCATTAACTTACTTTGTGTTCACGTAACAGCATCAGTGTAAGACATTGATATTTCTACATTTCTCATGTTGCACAGAGGCACGTATCGAACAAGCCAAACGTATTCAACGCAGTTCAGACTACATAAAGTTACCAAAATACGATGAAGGAGGCAACAGTGGTAGAAACACTGTCGGCATGATCTCATTTCAAAGGCTTCCTATACCGAACAAGAGTAAGGAACATCTGCCTCTCGTTGAGTATTGGCACAGCGACAGTGAAAGGTAAGCACATTCGAGTGTTCCATCGGATTATATGTGAAACGTAGTATAATGTTCCAATTTACCAGTGACACATTGTACAACTAGTGTTCCAATTTACCAGTGAAACATTCTAGAACCATTGTTCCCACTCACCAGTGAAACATTATAAAACTAGTGTTCCAATTTACAGCGAAGGTGAGATGACCCTGTTCCCAACGTCGAAGACAAAAGATTCATCAAAGCACAAACAAGATTTGACCGATACGTTTAGCATCGAAGAGCTAAGCGAAGAAAGCGAAGACTCGTTGAACTTAGGACCAACGCAACCATCACCTGATTTAAAGTTTATGCAGTACCACGGTTGTACTGAGGATTGCCTTCGTTGTCAGTGCCACATATTGTAATTCATTGTTATGTATATGCTTTAAGTATATCGGAGATTAATTATTTTTTATGTGTTGTTGAATATTAATTTATTATTTTGACATTTTACATAACTGTGTGATCAGAAAATTTTATATATACATACATACATATATATATATACATACATACTATATGTGGGATCAGGACCCCCCAGACCAAAGTGTGGGACAACTAGGAAATGTAAAATTTTACGGCAGTGTTGTTGACTGGCCAGTCCTAAATTAGGACCCATAATCAATCCTAATCTCGAGAACACGGGCTCGCGCGTCCCGTTCGTCCGGTTTCTCTTTTTCTTCTTTCTTCTTAGCGCTCTGCAACGGTGTCAGAATTCGGATGGGGCACGGGGTGGGGGGAGGGGGAGCACCGATTATCATCGCAGGAGACGACGAAGACGACGATGCATGCGCCCGAACCCGTGAAGATAAGCACGATGATGTATGACCCGATGAGCTATGATGTATGATGACTGTGTTAAGATAGAAGAGACATTTTTGAAAACATGCAGACCCCCTCGGAGAACTTTTGGAACGATCCAAGAACAAGTAACATAATCGTCCACTGCAAGATTCCTCATTTACTCGAGGATCAACCACGAACCATAGCATTTAATTGCATGGAAATAGAAAATATCAAAGACGTCGACTCGGTGGTTTAATTGAAATTGAAAGCACCTTCTATCTTCTCTGCCAACGCCGGCGATCTCGTCGTCGTCTTCGATCTCGCTCCCGATGCAAGCCAAATATATTAAGTATTCAAATCATGTGATTCAAGAGATATCGATTTTTTTCTACTTTTCTATTCGTTAGAATTCTACCGATAGAACGTATCCGCAATCGACGACCGTGTTCAAGCTCGCGATTTCAGTGAAATTTACGGGAGAGGAATGGTTCACATTGTAGATACCTATTGTCATATGCACCGTGTAAAGTTCTACAGGGTGTCCCAAAAATGTCTCGCAATCCGGAAATGGGGGGTTCCCAAGGTCATTCGAAGCAACTTTCTCCTTAGCGGAAATGTTCTACGAGGCTCCGTTTACGAGTTATTAACGAAAAACGTATGGCGCCACGCCCCCGCTCGTCTACGCTCCGTCCTCGCTCTCCAATTGGTCCGCGTTTTTCGCTAATAACTCGTAAACGGAGCCTCGTAGAACATTTTCGCTGAGGAGAAAGTTTCTCCAAATGATCTCGGGAATCTTCTGTTTTCGGATCGCGAGACATTTTCGGGACTCACTGTATTCTGCCCATAGTCGAAGCTTTTGCTGTAATTTTGGAGATATACTTATTGCAAATGATTTGTCTCTCGGTCTTTACCGATTCGAATGAATAAAGAATTGAAAATTTTCGACGTCGATTCCTTGCACCCCTCGCCAAGAATCCAAAAAGGCGTTTCAGATTTCACCGACGCGCCGAAGAAAAATTTGTCGAGCGCGTTTCATGCGCTGTTGGCACAATTTTTTAGCAGAGGAGATCGTCTCGCTCGTGAAATCGATTTGCTCATTTTCGTCGTCGGGGCACGCGTTTGCCCAGCGACTCCCGTGTAATACAAGAATGCCGGCGAATAGGATGCTAATTAATCGTTCGTACGCGGCGAATTAATTTTTCCCTCCGATACTCGGACAAGCCCGATTTTTAATTGAACCCGCAGGAAAGCGGCGCACGGAGAGAAATTAACGGCCTGCCGCTGGGAGAGAATGCTCGTTGCGTATCACGTCCACGTATAGGGTGAAACTTTTATCGTCGTACGAACGATTTCTAAAACGACCTCGTTGCGATCCAATGAAGCACGTTCGACTTACCTTAATTATTTATTTGTTAATTTATTTATCTATTTTTATTTCGTACAAAATAATTAGAGAAATGCTCGAATATCTACGGTACGGTAATTACAAATCCGGAAAGGTATTTACAAAGCACGTTGTCTTTGAAAGTTTACGTGAAGTATACGGGGTGTCCCGAAATTATGGCACATCCGTGAAAAGAGGGATTCCTGAGGTCATTTGAAGCAACTTTTTCCTTAGCGCAAATGCGATCCGCGGCTTCGTTCGCGAGTTATTGACGAAAAACGTGCGGCGCCACGCTCCCTCCCGTCCACGCTCCGCCCTCGCTCTCTAATTGGCCCGCGTTTTATGCCGATAACTCGTTAACCAGGCCGAATAGAACATTTTCGCCGAGGAAAAAGTTGCTTGAAATAACCTCAGGAACCCATTGTTTCCCGAAAGTACCGTAATTTTGGGACACCCTGTACGTGTATTGTCACATCGGATCGTCTCGATAAAGAGGCTGAATTAAGAATACGTGCCGCGTACGTACGGATTCTGTGCGTCTTCCGTGCGTGGAACGAGGCTCGAGATGGTAAACCGATGTACGACGTCGTGATGCATCGCGTATGAATATTTAAATGCACCTGGCCTCGCGTATTGCCCTCGTACATATAATATTATGTGAGGGAGACATATTCGCTGGTCGGCGTCGTCAACACCGCCGGCACGCTCGTAAATTCATTGAAAATTATGGCGTATTTTGTAACCAATTTGAAGCGATAAATCTCACCCCTTCGGGGTACGTGACAATCTGTAATGTGACCGCCGCTAATGTTCCATCGTTTATTCGCACGTACCATGCAAAGAGGAAAGAGGGACGGACGACCCTCCTTGAAATGGGATTCCGTCGCCGATTAACCACTAATTTCTACCGGATATCGTGGCGAGACTTCGATAATGAGAACGTCACTCTATCATTTTTCCAAACCGATGCAACCGCGACGCTTCGAACATTGATAAAACGATTTCACCTATTTTATAACAAAATGGGTCGCAAAATCCAATATTGAAAAATCAAATCGAATAACTATATACAATTAAAATAAATTAAAGAAATAATAAATAAATAATAAATTAAGTAAAATTAAAATAAAATTATATAAAATTACAACGAAGTTATATAAAATTAAAATAAATTGAAGAAATAATAAATAAATAATAAATTAAGTAAAATTAAAATAAAATTATATAAAATTACAACAAAGTTATATAAAATTAAAATAAATTGAAGAAATAATAAATCATAAATAAATAATAAATTAAGTAAAATTTAAATAAAATTATATACAATTACAATGAAGTTATATAAAATTCAAATAAATTAAAGAAATAATAAATAAATAATGAATTAAGTAAAATTAAAGTAAAATTATATACAATTACAATATAATTATAAAAAATGAAAATAAAATTATATAAAATTGAAATAAAATTATATAAAATTGAAAACAAATAATCTTGACAATCGGTCACTATAAAAACGGCCGCAAGCCTCGAATAATCGCATCTGCTCTTCCCGAATCGTCTATTTTTGTGCGCAATGTGAGTGCGAATTAGGGAGAAATTACTATAATATCAACCCTCACCCACCATGCCAGTTCGACGAATAAACCGATCCACCATCGTGCAATGTACTTTATTTTTAGTACTTTATTATTATATGGTTTATTTTCTTATTATTCTGCGAACGTACTAATGTTTGAGTCACCGTACCCGGGCCTACACCTTTGAATCTATCTCTGAAACCAGTAGAACCGGATTTCGTGAGAATATGTCCCCCGATGCTTGGAAAAAGGATCGGCAAGACCGAAGATGCATAGGAGCATTTCGTTGGTGCGCGGCGCGGGATTTAGGCGTACTGAAAATAAAAATAAAAATAAAAATAAAAACAAAAATAAAAATGAAAATGAGCTACCGAACGGTCCATTGCAAGTACTATTTAGTTTAGGGTCACTTTTGACCCTCTCATCCGGCTCTGCAGAATCGTGGCCACAAAGGTTACGCAGGCAGAAGCTGCAAAAGAATGCGGAAGAGCGCACCGTCCTCAACAAGGTAAAATCGCAGGTGCGATCACGTAGGCGCAACCCTTCGCGAGGAGCAGTCGAATGCCATCGTGCACCGGTATTTAATTAATCCCGGCCAGCTCGATAAAAAGTCGTTGGTACAGGAAGCGATGGATTTCGAGCAAGCGGGCAGCGGACCGTAGTTCGAGCCCCGTTACGGGACGGGGTCATTGGCGTAGCCATAATTGAATAACGCTTGGCCTTCAAAACTTTTTAATTCTTAAAAATTCGATTTCGAGACCAAAAGTTCTGAAAAAAATCATGGCTGTGTCTCTTAATAGTTAACATATCCCAGATTTTTTTCAGAATTTTCAAGTGAAGAAGATAAAAGAAATTGCGGAGATATATGATTTCCTTTGTCACCCCATCTCTACCCTCCAAGTCGACATTTAGGGTTGAAAACTGGCACAAAGTATCTTCTTTCGATAAGCTATCGAACGGTTCATTGCAAGTTCGATTTGGTTCAGGGTCACTTTTGACCCCGTTATCCGGCTATATCCTTTGCTTAGTGACGATCTCTCTTGCTCCAATTGTTTTTTAAATTTAAAATAGCTAAACATCTGCGGTAAAAATCATGTATTAGATTAATACAACATTATTATATTAGATATAATTAGACATAATTAGACATAATTATTATTATATTAGACATAACTGTCGGTACATATGAAATGCATTGATACCGATCTATTGGCTATTAGAAACGACCGCGCCATCTGCTGAGCTTTTCCATAACGAGGCAACGATAGATTCGGCGAGCTGGTCAATCGCGATCAGGCAACCAATGCAATCCCGAGCGAAAAATGCAGAGTGATTTTGACATTGTAAAGTACACGTATACAACGTTCATTTTGTACCTCAGTTACTCTTGATCCACACTCCGATAATAATAATAATAACAATAAATTGATAACAAAACGTTGGAACGACTGACAACGTTACGACACTCTGAACTTATCAAAATCATTAACCTCTAAACGCTCACGCGTGCCACACGCACACTGAATCACCAAAGAACAATTTCAAACAGTTCCGACTATATTAAATTCGCCGAACGTCGATTCTCTCTTCACAAAATCTAAGAAGCGAAAACAAGCCTTAAATTGTTGCACACTCCTGGAGCGACACGCGCGGACGAACACTATCTTCGACGAGTTAAGAGAAAATATTCATCGACTTCCCGTTCCTTTCGATCGTTGCGAATAATATCTTCCTTCGGCTCCGTGGTCCACGCATGCGAGGGTCGCAGCCGGCTGGCGCGGAAAGCGGCGCGTGCGGCGTAAAAGGTGTCCCGTGTCCCCATGAATGAACCGGCCACGTGTGGTGGCCGGCGTAAGGAGCGTAAGGAGCGTGCGCGGGAAAAGCGCGGCAGAGCGATGTGCACGCGGCGGAGGCGGGCGTCCCGCGCGGCTGGCAGGGTAGGAGTTGGGCGAGAGGCGGGCAGATGGCGGTGGGGTCGCGTGGCGGCTGCTTGAAACACCTGACCGCTGGCAAGCAGTGCGGCATGGGCTTGTGCGGCAGGCGCACACTTCTTTTAAAACAGGTAGCACGCGCGGCTCCGGCCAATTGTTTTGGTTTTCGCGGCGGCGTAACCGGGTGTCCGAGATATTATGTGCGCGCGTGTGTCGGCCGCCGAGGGTGCCGCGTCCGCCGACTGACGGCCCTACGGAAGGGACCCGCCTGCCAGTGACGACATCGGACTCTTGGATCCGCGGAGTTTCACCGACCTCTCTCGGGCTCCTCACCCGTGAACGATTCGACTCGCGCGCTTCCTGCGTGCGCAGTGATTATGACCGGGACCTGCGCACGCGTTCCTCGCGCGCCCTCGGGACTCTAGCGGCCCACGGGTCTCCAGCGACCCACCCTTGTGTTTCCAGCGAACCCCGCCGCCCTTAAGGCTCCGGATAGAATGCGGTGACTTCGGCCGTGTTTCCGGTTCGCTCGACCGACCCGGCACCGAACTAGCTTTTCATGGTACGGAAGAACCGCCGGTATTCACGACGCCCCGCGATCCGAACCACCCGCTGCGAGCGCGACGAATTCCCGTGGCCCCGCGACCGGGGCGCCGGACCCCCGAACTTCCCGAAAATGTGATCGCACGGGGCGCCCCGCGCTCTGACCCCATCACCCCACCCCCCGCGACGGATTTATCGTGGCCGGTGCGCGCGTGATCCTTCCACGAAAATGACGGCGGAGAGGTCGGTGGTGATGTTCCTGTGCACGCTGCTGACCACCGTGATCGTGCTGGTCCACGCGAGGGATGCGACGACGACACTGGAGTACGACGACCCCGTTCCGGCGAACGAGACCACCGCCCGGCACCGCATCGATACAGGTCTGTCCAGCCTCGACGATGTCATTGTCTTTTATCATCTGCGCTCCGGCAACAGAAATAACGTTAACCCTCGGACAACGGGACCTATTCTCACGACGGCGCTGTCGATCATGTTTAGAACAATTCTCGGATTTATTCGCGCATTTTTTTCAATACGTATTATTATTATTATTATATTATAAAGTTTTCATTATTATTAACTTCTATTATTGTAAACGTATTTCTCGCAGATTCGTTAGCTTTTCCGTAATTTTGAAACTTTATTCGAGCAAACCGATATCGTGCAACCGAACGGACGATTTTTTATGCTCCGGGTCAAAGTTGACCCGACCACCTGTTTTCGAGGGATAAATTCGTTTCGATAATATTTTGACCGTTGCAACTATGCTCGCAGATTTTACGCGTTTGCAATGAAATGCATGAATTTCAAAATGGTGAAATCGTTGAACGAAATCTTTGAAATCCAGTATTATGTTTTATCTACGCATATATGTCTTTTTATATCGATATCTTTTATCATCCGGCGTGATTTGTTTCGAGCGGATCGCGAGGACCCTTTGGTTTTCGTGTACTGAGAGCGTTGAATTCGCAGACGTCGCGATTTGCATTGAATGTCGCCGCTCATTTAAATTATCGAAAGCGTTGCTTTTATGCTTCTTGCACAACGTCTGTCACGACGCCACTTTTGAAACAGACGGCCTTCCTATGGACACCGTATCGGCAATGTTAATCGAGTTCATTCCGATTCGATAGATTCGTTATAATCGCGGAAGGAGAGGGGGAGGGGCGTCGTTCTATACGCAGATATTTTAATTCGCCGGAATATATGTATATGGGTGTTCGTATTGTTCGCGTGACTTCTCCGCGGCGACGCGTCCGTCCGTCGATAAAGAAAAAAAAAAGAATGAGAGAAAAGCATTCGCAATGTTTCCTGTTCGCCGCGCGGCGATTGCACTCCGCTTGAAATCAACTAGTATGACGGTGAATGCTTGAACTTTGTTACTCGTCTCGGATTTGCCGAGGAAGAATGACCTTTGCTCTAACGCTTCTGTGAAAGTGTTATACGCTCGCCGTGGAGGCCTTGTGCCTTTCCGAAGTTATTTTCTAACGTCTAGTTTTCGCGTGAAAATCGCCATTTCCATGGGACGGCGGCGCGTGAAACTTCAACGCGATTATATTTGCATATTTTAATGGGAAAATTACAGTTAGCTGTAATTATAGTTAGCTGTAAACTGGAGGCTCTAACTGCCGCGGCGTAATTGAGTTTGTACGTGGTCGGCACGATGGTTTTTGTAATTAGTGGTGTACTGGGGTCACGGCTGACCCTACTGAGTATATGTGGGAGATGCAAAATGTGGGAAATAAACATTTTTGCTGATGCTAAGTGTGGGACATGAAAATGTGGGAGATAAAAATTTGTGGTGTTGCAAATTGTGGGAAATATAAATATTTGGGGATACAAAATGTGGGAGGTAGAAGTTTCTAGAGGTACAAAATATAGGAGACAAAATTTATGGAGATGCAAATTGTGAGAAATATACATTTTTAGGGGTATAAAATGTGGGAGATGAAAGCTTTGGCAATACAAAATGTGGGAGATGAAAGTTTTTATAAATACAAAATGTGGTAGACAAAAATTTTTGGGAAATAAAAAATGTGGGAGACAAAGTTTATGGAAATACAAATTGTGGAAATATAAACTTTTAGGAATACAAAATGTGGGAGATAAAAGCTTTGATGATACAAAATCTGGGAGATAAAAATTCTTGGAGGTATAAAATGTGGGAGACAAAATTTGTGGAGATACAAATCGTGGAAATATAAATTTTTAGGAATACAAAATATGGGAGATAAAAGCTTTGATGATACAAAATGTAGGAGATAAAAGTTCTTGGGGACACAAAATGTGGAAGATAAAAATTTCTGAAGATATAAAATATAGGAGATAAACATTTTTGGGAGATACAAAATGTGGGAAACAAAAATGTTTGAAGATACAAAATGTGGGAGACAAAATTTGTGGAGATACAAATTGTGGAAATATAAATTTTCAGGAATACATAATGTGGGAGATAAAAGCTTTGATGATACAAAATGTAGGAGGTGAAAGTTCTTGGAGACACAAAATATGGGAGATAAAATTTTTTGGGAAATAAAAAATGTGGAAGACAAAATTTATGGAAATACAAATTATGGGAAATATAATTATTTGGAGATACAAAACGTGGGACATAAAAGCTTTGGTGTTACAAAATGTGGAGAAGAAAAATTCCTGAAGATATAAACTGTGGGAGATCAAAATTCTTGGGGACACAAAATATGGGAGATAAAAATGTTTGGAAACTACAAAATATGGGTAACAAAAATGTTTGAAGATAGAAAATATGGGAGACAAAATTTACACAGATACAAATTGTAGGAAATATAAATGTTTAGAGATACAAAATATGGCAGATAAAAATTTGTAGGAGATACAAAATATGGGAAACAAAAATGCTTACAGAAACAAAATGTGGTGAATAAAAATTTGTGTAAATGCAAGATGTGTGTTAATATAAACATCTTTGGAGATACAAAATTTGTGAGAAATGAAATTTGAAACAAAGTGTGAAAAGTACAAAATATGGGAAGCATAAAAAATCCAAAATGTAGAAAATACACCATTTCATCGTCGCCTTTATTTTGTAAACACTCCATTTGGCCAAATCTCTGCACCGAGCTTCTTTTAACATAAAAACAAAGTTTACTATAGCGATTTTTGGTTGCTCCAATTAATATCCAAATTTTTGTAAGAAATATATTATTTCTGCAATGTCATTTCCTGCTTTACCGATGTACGTTATCAGATCTTGATCGGATCCTGGTACCTCAACCGACTTGCGGGGTCATTATAGACCCATTACACAATAACACGATATTAAACAATTAATTATTATCTTAGTATAAAATATCAAACGTATAAAACATTAGAAACGTGTAAAATGAAGCTGACGCTACAAAATAAAGTTAAAATACAATGCAGAGGTCTCTGTTGACCCCAGATTACCATTTAAGATACAAAAAAAATGCCGCCATCTTTCCAGCTGCTCGATCGAACACGGTGCACGTCTGAAAGTATCTGGATGATGATCGGGTGATTTATCATCCCGCAACAGTGTACACACTTTTATGCACCGCGAAACGTTTCATAAATCACATATCCGTTGCATTCATGTCATCCGCGGGTACAGATGGGTCCATCAGCAACGAATTGAAAGAACAGTGCATTCGTAACGGGAAAGTAATTATTACCAATTGGCAACGCGGATTGATTGATACGTATTTGATCCATCCGTTAGCATTCTGATAGAAATTGTACGACGGATTATTATTTCTTCAACGCGGGCCCAAGGGGCCCGCGGAGGACCCCCGGCTGTCGATTGGACGGGGATTTTTCGATCATAATTCAATGCAAAGGAGAAACGTGTTTGCAGGATGACTCGCCGGATTGACGAACAATGAACCCTGCCGGCCGGACTGCATTGTCCTATTGCTCCAATCATTCGCGTCAGACTAACTGGAACCGTGCGGCATCCGTAACGAGTTCGCGGGGTTACATAATTCATAGGGAAACCTCGCCGGCTGGTTCAGCTACTTAATCTCAATCATTACGCGCTCGCGTTCTGCGGATCGTTGTACCCTCTGTAGCGGATTCATTCTCACAAACGGCGTTCGCCGCATGTTTTCGCATTCCGAGAGAGATCGGTCGCTTTCGACTATGTAGAAGACATAGTTCGACGATCAAAGATGCGCATGCGACCATTATTATACCAGCTGTGCTAATTTATGCCGGCGAAAATAATTTTTGCTTCCTGCAGAAATAATAATAATAATAATAGTAATAATAATAATAATAATAATAATAATAATAATAATAATAATAATAATAATAATTGTATAAAGGAATATTGTGGTAACGAAACTGAATGAAAAATGAGAACAACCGTTTCGAGTCGCGATAAAAATATGAACGATAATTTGTGCCGTCCTGCATGTAAATTATAATGATTATGTATAGTGCAAAATTATGGTAATGAAGATGGATAAAAATGAAAGTAATTGTTCCAAGAATAGATTGGTGCAACACTTCTACTTTTTATAACTTATAAGAGTTCTTTTGAAGAGTGCATTGTTATTGCTTTTTAATTATTTTTCGCTTCATTTCTTCGTGACATATTTTTCATACTTTAATACTTCTTTCCTTTAGAGGTTATAATAGGCTTCAACGATTCTCAACAGCTGTTTTTCACTATTGGTTAGGTCTGGGTTAGGTCAGCCAACGATTTTCGACAGCTGTTTTCAATATAGGTTAGGCTTGGGTTAGGTTAGCCAATGATTTCCGACAGCTGTTTTCAGGATAGGTTAGCTCTGTGTTAGGTTAGCCAACGATTTCCGACAGCTGTTTTCAGTTGACGTTAGGTCTGGGTTAGGTTAGCCAACGATTCTGAACAGCTGTTTTTAGTATAGGCTAGGTCTGGGTTAGGTTAACCAATGATTCTCAACAATTGTTTCCAGTATAAGTTAGGTCTGTGGGTTAGGTTAGCCAACAATTTCCAACAACTGTTGCCAGTATAGGTTAGGTCTGAGTTAGGTTAGTCAACGATTCTCAACAATTGTTTCCAGTATAGGTTAGATTTTGGTTATGTTAACCAACAATTTCCAACAGCTGTTTCCAGTATAGGTTTGCTCTGAGTTAGGTTAGCCGCCAATCCTCAACAGCTGTTTTTTTGGTATAAGTTAGGTCTGAGTTAGGTTAGCCAGCGTTTCTCAACAGCTGTTTTTAATATGAATTAGGTTAGACGTATGTTAGGTCAGAGTTAGATCTGGGTTAGGCCAAAGTTAGAACTCACTTTCTGTAGAACCATCTCGCAAATATCTACTACTTTATAAACAACGAAGCAGTGCAACTTGAATATCATTAAAATTTAAGCAAAAATTGCCTCGCATACTAGCCCAAAGCA